TCTCTCTTCTTGTTCTTTTGCTATTATTGTATTGCTGCCATCAAATCTGCTAAGCTGTAGTTTGATTTGCCACTTCTCGTTTCCATCTTCTTTTTTATTTTCCATCCCACTTCTGACACCAATTTGTTACCTGTCTGGTCGTTTGTTAATTTCCGGTATAAATTCTTTCCGAAGTACTTCAGCGATACAAGTCCTTTCTTAATTAAAACTAGTTTATTCTTTTTCGATACAACTTTATAATATACAGAATTTCCACAGTCACTTTAAACTTAACAACCTGTATAACACACGCTATAAATCCCAATGATTCACACACTTTACTTACGGTGCCTATTGTTCGCTTGACTCGGTTATCTCTATCTGCATATCTGTCTATCGCTGGCTTATATACTAAAAAAGAGGGCATCTAGGAAACACTGGAACATTCGCGAGGTTCCCAAATAAGTCATGATCCTTCTAGAAACTCCAGCGCGCATGCTCCCAACGTCGCGTGACTTCCGCTGTCTTAACAATATATCTTCCACCTGAAGATTGACAACTATGCCAGCTCTTGTGAAATACGTGATTAATTGTATGATGATTCAAGTTCTATAGCGATCCACTGATTGACTTCATGTAAACAAATATTTTTGTTAAAAAATATTATTGCGCTATTAAAACTTTCCATAATTTTGATCTGTAAATGACTTAATTAAAATTTACAGGGATAGAAATAATGAAATAAAGTTACATTCACTCGAGGGAAGGCTATCAGGAAGATTACATTCCCTCATGAATTGTTTTTTTTTATTATATATTTATTTAATTCATGCAATACATTAATTTTCATTGGTCATAACTAAAGGAATACAGATTGACTATATATTCCCGATAGGGAAAACCAACTAAAAGAATGAAATTCCTCAAGCAAAGTCCCCAATGGCACAGCGGTATTTCTGCGGTCTTACAACGCTAGAAATCGGGTTTCAATACTTATGATGGGCAGAGCACAGATATCCCATTGTGTAGCTTTATGCTTAATTACAAACAAACAAACCTCAAGCAAATTTAAATTCCTCTAGAATGCGGGAATGTAATATTTCGATTCCTGATTTATTTGAATTACACTTCATTTTCTTAACCTTTTCCCTGTTTTAGGTAATCTAATGGTTTTTATGGATATGCTTATTTGACTACTTACCCATTATTAATTTGTTGGTAAAAATTAGTATAATTGGTTATGAAAATATAAATAGTTAATAAAAAATTGTTGTATTTATCCAAGTGTTGCGTCAGCGAGGTCACGCTACCTGCTTTCTAGAACTATCCCGTTCCTTCGGGGGTGCTCTAGCATTTACTAGATATATGTTTGTCTGGTATATATATGAGACGCTCACGACGTGACGGGATAATGTGTGTAGGTAG